ACCCTCCAAAACCAAAAAGAGAAACCCTGTGCCGGAAAAAAAAAAAAAAAAAAAAAAAATTCAGTTCAGTTGGGTTAGAATGCTAGAAGAAGGCTAAATAGACATGGTAAGTCCCACAGACCATAAGCTAGTGTCCTTGTTTGCTGTAATCAAACACTGATGGAAAAACAACTTGGGGAGGAAAGGGTTTACTTAACCTCTCAGGTTATAGTCCATCACTATGGAAAGTCAAGCAGGACCTGGAGGCAGGAACAAAAGCAGAGACCATGGAGAAACAAAACTAGCCAGCATACCTAGAAAAGATTTGAAATACCACTTGATGGATTACTCAACTACATAAATAATCAAAAATGCAAACTAAATGCTGCAATATTATCCCATAAAACATCTCTCAATGCTCACTCCTAAAAGAACAGAGAAAAATCATATTATACCAAAATATCAGTGTCATCAAAGTACTAGTTCTTTGATTTACATTCTGAATTTTTTCCTATGGTTGGGTGGGAGTATGCATACATGTGTGCATGTGTTTGTGTACACTTAAGAATTTATGTGTACAGCCGGGCAGTGGTGGCACACGCCTTTAATCCCAGCACTCGGGAAGCAGAGGCAGGCGGATCTCTGTGATTTCAAAGAGACCAGCCTGGTCTACAAGAGCTAGCTCCAGGACAGCCTCCAAAGCCACAGAGAAATCCTATCTCAGAAAAACAAAAACAAACAAACAAAAAAAGAATTTATGTGTACCCGTGCCATAGCATATGTGTGGAGGTCCAAGGACAACCTCACACTAGCGCACCCAGCACTGATGGGCTCTGGGGACTCAAACTCAGGTCCTCACGCTTGTGCCACAGTTCTTTACCCAGAGCCATCTCCCCAGCTCCTACACTTCCTTAATGTCCTACAGTAAACATGCATTGCCTTAATAATCACAAAAATTAACTGTAAGAGGCTTTCAGTGCCTCATGTGTAACTTCACATACAACCCCCCTGCAGGGGAGAAGGGAAAAGGCATTCTGGGAGAAATGGGGAAATACAGGAGTTGGGAGGAAAAAAACACGGGGACTGGAGAGATGGCTCAGAGGTTAAGAGCCCTGGCTGCTCTTCCAGAGGTCCTGAGTTCAATTCCCAGCAACCACATGATGGCTCACAACCATCTGTAATGAGATCTGGTGCCCTGTTCTGGCACGCAGGCATACATGGAGGCAGGATATTATGTTCATAATAAATACATAAATATTTACCAAAAAAGGGAGAAAACACCACAAAGATCAAAAGGGCCAGGTGTAGTGTCACACTGCACACTCACAGTTCTCTGTGAGCGTACACCTTTAATCCCAGAATTCAGGAAGTAGGGACCAGCAATTCTCTGTCTACAATATAGAGTGCCAGGCCAGCCAAGTTTACATAATGAGACCCTGTCTCAAACAAACAAAAACAAAAAACAAAAAAAAAAGGAAAGGAGAATGGATCCTCTTTCACAGCACTAACAGTGAAAAGGACAGGAACATATTAAATGTCCAGGAAGAGGTGCAAAGATGCAAGTGCAACTATATAGTCTTTTTTAAACTACATGGTTTTTACATATAAAATAGCACATTTGATTCTGTTCTGAATTTTTATTTGCTAGCTGCATAAAAAGAGGCCCCCTTCAAAGTGGCCAGTCACAGAGGTTGTTTCTGTGCAGACAGGACCTGGAGGTTTAAGCTATTTTATGCTTGCTTTCATTTTCTAAAGCAAAAAACTTATCTTTCTAAAGCAGAAAAAAATTATGGAAAATGAATCACAGTTGTTAAGTCTATCTCAGTAATGGATGACGTTACATGTAATTTTAAGCATTTTATAACATTTTAACTTTTTAAGATTTATTATGTTTAGTGTTCTGCCTGCACGCCAGAAGAGGGCACCAGATCTCATTATAGATGGCTGTGAACCACCAAGTGGTTCCTAGGAATAAACGCAAGACCACAAGAGCAGCCAGTGCTCTTAACTTCTGAGCCTTCTCTCCAGCCCCCACATTTTAGCTTTTTAAAACTTAATTCCGTTTTATAATTGACAAATAAAAATCGTATTTGCGGGGTGCAGCAACCGTGTTTACACTGCAGAACACTGAGTCAAGTTATATCCTTCTATTTTAGGGAGTCGGGTGTTTGGTCTGATTTTGATTCGGGACTTTTATTTGTTTAACTGGCGGGCTGGACAGATGGCTCAGTAGTTAAGAACACTTGCTGCTCCTTCAAAGGACCCAGGTTCGATTCCCAATATCCACCTAGTGGCTCACAGCTGTCTATAATTCCACTGTCAGGGGATCTGACGCCCTCTTCTGGCCTCCTCGGGCACTGCATTACGACTGTGTATTCATACACATACAGTAACCTTAAAAAAATAAAAGACAGTATTGGTGCAAGGGCGGCCCGCATGCTAGGCAAGCGCTCTTCCGTGGCCCTGTCTTTGCATTTTCCAGACGAGACGTCACACTGTGGTCTAGACGGGTCTCGAACGCGATACGGCTGGGATGGGGTGGACCACCACGCCACGCCCCCTGCGGTTGCTTAGTAACCAGCATCCGATCCATTTATCCAGTGTCAACAAAAACCAGGCGAAAGCGTAACATTGACCCTAGATCACTGATGCCTCCGCAGGTCCGGGACGAAAGCAAACGCGGCGGTGCTGCGCAAGCAGCCGCCACGCTCCGGAAGGAGTCTGCCTGGAGCCCCAGCACCGGAAGTAGGAAGGCGCGCAGCATCCTGGGAAAAGTTGACCCAGCGCCTTGGCTGTTACCAAGGCAACCGGAGGCGAGCCGGAAAGGCTCAGAGCTCTCCCGCGGCCGGTGGCTTCTCGCAGTCTATTTTGCCTCTTTTTTCAGAATATAAATTGAGAATTTTAAAGTTACATAACAATTTGTTCTAGTGTAAATGTAAATTATTCATTTTCCAGTTGTGCAAATTAAAAATGAACTCGTTATCAAGGTACCCAGAGGCAAATTAAAATTTTCATGTGTTACCTATCAGTTTTTTTTTCCTCTGTAGAAACATTTTTTAATAAATATTTTATTTATTATGTATACACTCTTCTGCCTGCAGAGGGCACCAGATTTCATTACAGATGGTTGTGAGCCACCACGTGGTTGCTGGGAATTGAACTCAGGACCTCTGGAAAAACAGTCAGTGCTCTTAACTGCTGAGCCATCTCTCCAGCCCCAATAGCAACATTTTTGCATAGTCAGGTTGGTTTGGGGAAAACTGCTTTGTATCTTGCTGCCTTCATATGAGTGTGTGAATAATGTAATTCTAATATTAAAATCTTCGGGACGAGAAGGCATTGGTGTAAATATGTTTGCCCTGAGTTTGGATGCAGCATGTGAAGACAACTCTTTCAAGAAGTTTGGCCATAAAGGAAAAGAGATGGCTGTAAGCCTGAGAAGACTAGCAAGTGAGAGAGAGAAAGAAAGAAAGTGATTTTTTTCTAATTTATAGGGATAGGACAATGACACTAGTACAAGGGAAGAAAAAAACCATAGAAAGACACACAAAAAAAAAAAATAGTGCAAAAGAAAGAAAGGGAGGTAGCTGTTGTTCTGGATAGCCACCTGGCTTCATCCCTATATAGGGGGTGAGATGCATGCATCAAGTCAATAAATTAGCTTACATTAGAAGCGAGCCTGGGAGAGAAGTTGTCAAAGTGGATGAGGCTGTGAAGAAATGACACCTGAGGTCTGGAGCGATGACTCTGTGGTTAAGAACCTTTATGAGGGCTCTCTGGAAATGCCCAAATTCTTCACCACTTAACAATATTCTTCTCTTCTGAAACCCCTTAAGCTTAGCCCACACAACCTACATTGTTCTCAGCACCACCGTTTTCCCTGCTCCTACTAGTGTAGCCTACCAAGCCTCACTTCGAGTATTCACCTGCTTTCCCAATGCAAAACCCCCAAGTCCACAACCGGCCAACAAGAAACATGGCCAGGCCTGTCACAGCCAGGAAGCAAGAAGGGAGGCTTGGGAAGGGAAAGGCAAAAGTGTAGGACACAGCAAACAGGTGTGGTGTGAAGGTAGGGGTGGGAATACTTGGTATGGAAAGGTTTAAACGGGGATAGAGTGGGGAGGATAGGAAAACTGAGGGTAGAGAGGAGGGTTTCCCACAACTAAGGGTATATGAAAAAGCCATAGAGAAACCAATGGGAGCCAGAGAGAGTTCAGCCACCAGTAAATTTGTTTGCCACGAGGCCTGATGACCTGAGTTCAATCCCCGGGACCCACATGATGGAAGGAGAGAACTAACTCCCACAAGCTGTCCTCCCATGTGCCTCGGTGCACTTTTCTACTCTCTCTCTCAAGCGCGCTCACACAAACACACACTCACACTAAAAAGAAACCTACTACTTTATACATAAGCTAGGGAAGTAGTGGATGTCTTTGAGACAGTCTCACTATGTAGCCCTGGGTGTCCTGGAATTTGTTACATAGACCAGGACAACCTGGAACTCTTAGATATCTGCCTGCCTCTGCCTCTTGAATACTGGGATTAAAGGCCAGTGCTACCCCACCCAAGCCTGTGGCATTTTCCTTTTTCTTTTTAATGTGGCTACCAAAACTACCTAAGCGGCTGGCACATTCCTCCTGAAGATGTGATAGAAAGCCTTTGTAACATTAGTGATCTCCAAAAGTGTCATGGCCAACTTTTTGTATAGTTAATTTACTAAAATTATGTGTTTTTTGTTTCCTTCCTCAAGACACTCTGGTGCAAAAATCAATATCTACTCTAAGTGGTTTTAATTTTTCAGAGTGGCCCTCAAATCACTAGGTGTCAGTGGCTATCTGATGAAGACTGACTGTCACACTCCACGGTGTGGCTTCATTCCAGGAGCCCATCAATCACAGACGCATCTGAAACAGTCTAGGAGACTCATCTCATTAAAATTGAATTGGCCCGGGGTAGCCCAGCTTAGCGTTCTCCCAGGTAGTGTAACAGCCATGGTGGAGATAACAGAACCTTAACTAGGTCGTCTCCTGTTACTTCTCCTATCCGCTCTGGGCGCGGCTTTGTCTTACCATCGACAAACAGTTTCTGCTCCAGTCTGTGGACTGTGCTCTCATGGGTTCACAACACTCTCCCTGGTGTATTCAAAGGTGTGTGTGTGTGTGTATGTGTGTGTGTGTGTGTGTGTGTGTGTGTGCGCGCGCGAGTGCGTGAAATTCACCCTTTTACTAATTTTCATGGTGCTGGAAGATCAATTATTTGATTGAGTATGCAAAGGGTACAGTATGATAATTCGGTGCATGAATGTAGGGTGTGATATCGTCACAGGGTATGTGATGCTTCCCTTCTCTTAGAGCCTTCAAGTTCCTGTTTTTCATTTATTCATAAAATATATGAGGCTCTTTGGGACCTGGTGTGTTGCAGACAACTAGAACCTCTTCCTTCTAGCATCCTTGGCCCTGGTACCCATTATCCAGTCCCCTTCTATCTTCTCTCCTGGTATGTGAATTCTAGAGGAAGAAGCAAGGCTCCCATAGGGCTCTCAGCTGAGCTAAGCTGAGTAGTGGTCAGCTCTCTGTATTTCTACTGCTACCGTCACCGACTACCACAACCTCACCAGGCTGGAGTCAAGTTGGGTCAGCAAAACCGGCCTTCCTGAGGGCTCTAGAGGAGAATCTGTTTCTCGCTCTTTCAGATTGTTGACAGGGCTCACGTCTGTGAGGGACTGATGCCTCAGTTCCTTATTGGCATCATCAGCTGTTCCCAGGGGCTGAGGAGGCCCAGTCTCCTTCCTCAAAATCAGAGTCCAAGAGGGTCAGAGAGAGCACCGGATGTGATGGTTCATGCCTGTTTGAGACCAGCCTGGTCTACATAGAGACTGTCTTTAAAAAAAAAATAATAATAATAATAATAATAAAAATTAAAAAGTTACACAATTAAATCTTAAAGCTAAAACAAATAAATAAAATATGTAAAAATGTTTTAAAAACTGGAGCTCAAGACCAGCTCAAGCTTAGAGTCTCACCTCCTCCTCTCATTTTACCTCCTTCTCTCATCTTTTTACAGCCTCGTGTGATAATTCAGGCCTCTCTGGATAATCCAGGATAATCTCCCTGTTTTCAAGTCCGAAATCTTAATTCCTTCTGCGAAGTTGTCCTGCTGTGAGACTTAACATGGTCTCAGATCCTTAGGATCATAATGTGAACCCCCCCCCCGGCGGAGGGGGGGTTGCTACTCCCATCTGTCACCCCTTCCTACCCAGGGATGTGCTGTCTGCTCTATTCCCAGGTAGGGGAAGGTGAGGCCCGCACTAGTTACTGAAGTGCCCCCCCCCTTCCCCGTTCCCGTACAGAGTCTACGGGGCCAGAGCACACCACGCACCACTTCTCCTGTTTAGGGCACAGGCAACAACTTCAATCTCTCTGCCTTGCTTCCTCGTTGAAAATAGTAACAGTGGGGCCAACAAGCCAGTCCAGAGTTAAAGGTATTTGCCACCAAGCCTGATAACTTGAGTCCAGGTCCCAGCGCCTATATACCAAGCCAGGCACCCTGTAACGGCCTCTAACCCTACTCCCATGGTATGTGATGCCTCTTCTGGCATGCACCCATGCACACCCCTGCACACACGCACACACACATGCACAAATAAATAAATAAATATAATGCTTTAACAATAAGAAACCACGTCTTTAATCCCAACACTCAGGAGGCAGAGGCAGGAGGATCTCTGTGAGTTCGAGGACAGACCTCTGATTGCTCTAGAGAAAGCACTCACAGTTTGCCGACCCCTCCCCTTATCCTGCAGGGCACGCCCCACAGCTGACTAGAGTCACTTCTCTCTTCTCCAGGATCCTTCTGCACGCTGCACGCTCACCCCTTACCCATCAGAGTTCATCCTCAGCGTCCTACTGGTGTCCCACACTCTCTATGGTTCTTTCACTCAGTGAAGCTGAGCCACGACCCCCTTTTCAGATGCCTGCCTGACATCCACTCACAGGCTCCACGATGCTCCTTCCTCTCCACTCTGCTCCTCTAACACTGCTGCCAGAACCCAGCATCTTCCCTCATCCCATATTCCCAGCGGGCTTCTTTTCTAGGCGTTCCCATCTTACCGCCTTGGGACTCAACTCCTGTTTGCTGAGATATCAGAGAAACCTGATGGCTACTTCTGACTCTTCTCTGCTACTAAAATCACTCTTTAAATTCAAATCTGGGACTGGTGATGAACTCGACTGATAGAATATTTGTCTGCCATGCACAAAGACCCGAGTTGGAATTCCAGCACCACATAAACCCGGCATGGTGGCAAGACACGTGCAATGTCAGGGCTCGGGCAGTTCAAGGTCGTCCTTAGCTAAATAGCAGGTTGGAAGGCAATCTGGGTTACATAGTGAGTTCCGAGCCTGCCTGGATTTTGGAGTGAGACCGTGTCTCAGGAACAGAAATGCCGGAGAGATGGCTCCGTGCTTACGAGCTCTTGTTGCGCTTGGTGAGGACTAGGGTTTGGTTCCCAGCACCCACACGGCAGCTAACAACCATCTGTAAGGACATCCACAGGCTCCATTTGTCGTGTTTTCGGTTTTGTTTCGCAGCGTTTGGGGTCAGAAGCAGGGTCTTGCAGGAGCTAAGCGGAGACTGTTACCGAACTGCTCTCCAAGCCTCGTTTCTTTTAAATGAGAATGTGCAATATATGTCTACCCGGCTCCACTCCACATAGGGTTTTCACATTTGGGGATTATTTTAAGTCTCCCATGACCCGCAGGCAGAATCTAAGGACACTATGCCTGCGGAGACACTGCCAGGCTCAGCTCTGAGCTCCATCTGTTTAATGGGCCTTAAAGGAATTGCAATACACTTTTTGGTCTGTGTCTGTGATTCTAAGAGCAAGGGGTTCCCAGGACGTCATCCCAGCTCTTGCCACGAGGGGGAGACAGAGAAGCCTTGTTTGTGTTGAGACTCTAGTGACCACCAGGTGGACCCAAATACCAGTTTAAAGAAGGCAGGGTCTCAACTCTGGTTCTAGACACTTCATCATCGGTTTTCTCTTATTCTCTCCCCCTTGTGGCATGACACCCCTCCCACAGGTGACCTCTGCTTGGGAAGAGGAAATGTGGGAAGAGCAAGAGACAGCATCATTAGGAACTGTTGAGGAGGAAAGGAACCGGAAATGAGTGCGGGCTAAGGATTTACAGAGACCTGGATAATCAATGTTCGCTTTTTAGGAGCGTTCAGTGTGTTTTGACTTTCAAAATAACAAATACAAATCTCTGAAAAGAGCCAGGCGACGTGGTGCATGCCTGTAATCCTAGAGCTGGGGATGCAGAGGCAGCAAGCAGGC